GGGGCAAAAAGAGCAGCCAAGGAGAGCTACCCCTGATGCCCCTGCAGCACAGCTCACCAAAGTTCCTCAGTCAAAGCCACACAACCTCCTTTATAGCCATGTGAGTGCCACAGGGTGTATCTTTAATGTTTCCCAGTATTTGAGGTTGATCCCAGTGCAAGTGGAAGTTTTCCAGTGGAATAAATTCACTAAAATAAAATGGATATGTATATATATATATATTTTTTCTTTACTCCATGGTAGTGGTGCAGACAGGGTTAAAGCACAGTGCCAGCATTGTCACGGTTAGCTTGATTTCCCCAAGACCGGAGGTGGAGGGAGGGGACTAGTCTTGCCCATTTCTATTGACGCAATTAGACAGAGCTTTTGTGTCCTGCTTCACTTAAGAGGAAAAATCAAGTGAGAGCCAAGCAAACGTTTTAATGCAGTGTTGTTTGTACATTAAAGATGCATGAAGTCCTTTTTCCCCAGCCCAGGAAGCCTCAAGCAGCAGCGAACTGTTTCCTTGCTCCAGTTTGCCCTGGCCAGAGCACCATCCTTCTTCCTCAGGCCAGTCACGGCTCTTCTCGTCAACACATCTCACGTTCCTTTTCCATCTTCTTACTCACTCCATTGCCTTTCTCTCACTGTTCCTTTTAAGCTGTTCAGTTTCCAGACAGCCAAGGCAGTTAAGTTGTCACCTCCTACCACCTGCCCTTTACCAATCTCACAACTTGTAGCGATGGAGAGCTGCATGTGAGAAACACAGGCATCCTCCTCACACAAGGTCACCCGGGTTAATTTCAGCTGTTTAAAAAGGCAATTTACATTAGCGGGGCTAATTCTGCCCAAAGCAGATTAGGGAGTGCTCACACATACCCTTTATTTGGCAGAGCTGTGAAGGCTGTAAATCCCAGCTGGTGGGTGGTAGCAGACAGCTGGGGACTGTAACATCTGGTAATGGCATAACTAGATCCAAAAGAAGAAATTCATCTACACAGCTACACGAATACCTTCACAAAACTGCAGCCAGCAAATATGAACACATACTGTCTGTATAGATGCCATACCATTTTCAGCAAGGTTTGGCCCATACAGAACTGTACCAACACTTTCCTTTATACTCCTCAGTCCACCCCGGAAAAGCTGAAAATATTGAATAACCATTAATACGGAAGAATCAGGCAATTTTTTTCCACACAAAAGACTTGTAAAAGGACTTGCAAAAACTGGCCAGACTTGTTAAATAGGATTTTGAAAATATTCTCTCCTGATCCTTTCTTCCTGGACAAAGAAAGAGTTCAGTATTATCCTTTGATGGAGTTTGCCTCATTTTAAAATATCATGAGGTTTTTGCCCTAAATTCCCCTGAAGAAAATATAACTTTGCTTTCAGCTAGTCAGTAAAAGAGACAAAGGATGTGCTAGCTGAAGGACAAAAAAGCCCATTGCTAGGACAAAGGACACTATTACATGTGTTGAATTCATGGGTACCCAATACACAGAGATAAAGTATATTTGTTCTATGGTTCAGTTTCTTATTTTTCTTAAGGACAATAACAAGCTTCTCTGCTTCATAGCTCTTCCCCACCAAGGTACAATAGAGCTCTTGTTACACTTTCAGTCAAGTTATTTATACATTTTGAGAGCTTTCTGAGTTGTTCTCCACCACACAGCTACAGAGGGAAATAGAAAAGTAGCAGCATTACATACTTCTCAGAACCTCAGGGCTGGAAGCAGAGAAAGTATTCCATGAAGTCTGTAACAGAGGATGTTTGTGTATACATTTAGTTCAAATCAGAATTAGTATCTTAAAGGAAAATCATTCCTTGCACAGAGGAAGAGTTTCAGACGATTCATGGGCCATCACAGAGAGGAGCAGGGAAGAGGCTGTCTTCAGGCAAAACGCAGTATCTCAAAGGAAACACAGAGAGACATAGGTAGGCAGCAGCCCAAAGCCTTTGGCCCAAGTTGGAGTGGAGTAGCTGACAACTACTCCACTGTAGTTGTCATGAAAAGCAAAGCTCTGAGAAATATTCTTAGATTGCATTTAAGGAACATACTTAATGGTCACGTTGGGTGGGAGTGAAGTGCCACCTGCACTGTTTCCTGGTCCACACAATCTGCCCTGGTTGATTCAATGGGCAGAGCTAAAACCTCTTCATACACAGGGGTAGGATAACGACAGAGCTGGCCTTTACAAATCAGAGGTAAATTAAGCTCCAGATCAGCAACAAGAGGAAGAATCAGTAACAGAGGTGGAAAGTGAAGTGTCTGGCTTGTGTCTCTCTGCTCTAGTAGTGGTTTGCTGCTCCCACAAACCTCTTGTCCCAGCCTTATCCCTGCTCACAGTGAAGTTCCTTCAGATTACTGTCTGGGTAAATGAGAGTGATCATTACCAAGCAGACAGGATTGGTACCAATCATTGAGTTTTTAATGTAATAAGTAATTTGGCTCATGTTGGAGTGAGAGTGTCACATGCCTCTCTTCTGTGGCTGATGGCACAGGTGTTCTGGTTTCACATGAATGTCACTTACATGAATGAAGTATAGGTGCATTTTAGTCAAACCTCAAACAGTCCAGAACATCTTTCCATTCCTACTAAAGCCTTCCCCTTTGTAGACAGTCCTAACATGGCAGGGATGAGAACTCTGGCTGTGTGGTGTCACGGAGCTGCAGAGAGGTAGCTGAGGGCCTAAACATTGCTGCTGCTGTGTGCACCGTGTCCCCCACCAGAAATGCCAGCCCCCAGTGCTGGGAGCTCCAGTAGTGATCTGCTGTGTGCTCATGGGGAGCTTGCCCCTTTAGTCACTGTATGGCAGCATGTACACATGTTAAAGTAAAAATTCGGTGTGTTTAGCAGGATGGTTTTGAGATGTATATTTATATAGCGTGCTGTGAATTAGAAGCCTTACATAACATCTACTGCTGCTGCTACTAAATCACTAGCAGACTGCTTCACATTATGCTGTTTTGAATTTTGTGTTAATAGCTGAGACTATTTTAAGGGTTTGGATTTTCTTTTTTGGACGATATATATACAGTTATATTCCTGCATTACTAATAGGTGCTTAGAATTTTCCACAACTCTGGATATCCCCTTTCACAGGGAAATACAACAGAAAAACAATCTGGAATATATCGCTTGCTACAGCACCATAGTGGTAGCAGATCTTACCACAGAAGCAGTAATACTTGCTGCTCAACTGGTTTGTAGTAGGCAAGCAGTGCCCTAGCTGGCACACGTTTATGTAGCTCCATCAACTTGACAAGAGCTATATTGGTTTATTCCAGCCAAGAAAGTGGCCCTGCATATCTTTTTATATGTTAGACTTATTGGTTGAGTGGGACACATTTGGCCACTGCAGTTTTATTTATGAGGAGTCATTCAATAGGATTTTCATTGGGTTTTTGAGAATGTCTCTACTAAACTGGGAGAGCAACGTTATTCTAAGGAGAAATTGCTAGTAGGGTTTTTTTTCTACTCATCTGTTCTTGAATTTCTCCCTTCATTTATTCAAATATGGATAGCTGCCGCTTCTCTGCATCATCTCACTGTTGTTCATTCAGAATCAAATCACTGGTATGGTTTCAGATGCCTGCCACAGCTACTAACCACCTTTATCAGTGCAAACACATGTCAGTTATGAGGAGTACAAAACCTCTGATGTATGAGTTATTGTGGCTGACGCACTAAATTCTAGACCTGTACTTAAATTTGTGTCACCATAAGTAAGCCATGAAAATGCATGCAAAAGCAGCCAGGCATTTATCTCCATTAACAAAAGAAGTTTTTAAAAACACGTTTCCTGGCAAACACTGTTGCTTTAAATCTGAGCTCTGTGCTGAGTTCTTATGGAGAACTAATCACATTGAAGGTTGGAAGCCTTCAAATCCAAGCCAGTAATGGAATTATGAATTTCAGAAAAAGCCACCTATTATTCTTCTGTAAACTTGTTATTCAAATGTAGTTCTGCCATTTTCTAGCAATAAGAAATTCATGCCAAAATACTTTACTCCTAACATGTTCCTAGTAGAATGGATTTTTTTTTTTTTGCCACTCCCTGTGCAGTTACATTTGAGATTCCAAAGTGCAAATATCTTTCTTGGATTATATTGCAGCTTTTTGGGGGGTTGTAGATATCACTTAACTCTGCAAAGTGAGAATCACTAATCAGTGCTCTCAACTGGGCAAACGATTGAGACTCTTAGACTGACGTCCCAAATACAAGCGTTAGGAGCACTGATGCGAAGTCAGTGCCATTCTAACAGCGGGCTTCCCATGCAGTGATGCTATCTAAGCAGCAGGTGCAGCATTTTTCTGAGACCTGCTGCTAGACGAACAAAAAGTTTTCATGTCTCACTGTATTCTCTGATCTTATGAAAGGTGCTGAATGCAGAAATTTGATGTGTAGAGCAGATTTCTTTCTAGCTTAGGAATAGGTAGAGTTTGGTTAGATGGCCAAGTGCAAACTCTGGCTGCTCTCTTGTTCATTACAACAGCACAGCTCTTGTTTATTACAACAGCACAGCCAGTTACCAATGGCTTCAACTCAGATCTTCCCTAGCATCTACACATTTTTTTTTCTGCCAAACCCACCTGACAAGTAATTTCTATTAATTTATTGGCAGACATACAAGCATATGCCAATATTACAAACATATGCATATTTTTTTTTTTTGTCCATGATGTCATTCTAAAACTATTATTATTTTCGAATTCTTCAGGTTGTTTGATTTCTAAATGAGACTTCTTGTCACTGCCATTATTTATGGGCAAACAAAGCTATAGGCATCAAAAAGTGTGACTACACCTTCAGAATCTAAAATAATTATTGCTCCATCTGCCTTAGGCAGATAGTCAGCATGGCTCTCATTTTTGCAGGGTTTGAGCTGGCCTCTACAAGATAATGATTAACAGAAGAATTTTAAATATTAATTCGTTTAAGCTGTATAAATTGCTTGTTTTGTGCTTAGTGCTGCCAGCTAGTACCTTACCACACTGTGCTTCATTTATTCCAGATAATTGACAAGAGCAAGAGAGACCCCTCTGAAGAAATTGAGATTCTCTTGCGATATGGACAGCATCCAAACATCATTACTCTTAAAGATGTGAGTAATCTTTGACTACTACAGTACTAAATGATTTTCACCTAATGATCAGGCTCACTTATTATATGGAAAATTCTCCAGTTTAAGGTCAGAGCTAAAAAAAAAGACTCATAGAAATTAAGGGAAAAACATTGCTTTAACAAATTACAGGCTAATAGTTGGAAAGACTGGTCAGGTTATATTCTCTAAATCCTGTCTAAACAACTGAGGATAAAACCAAAGGGCCGCAGTGCTGGAGAACAACAAAATGTACCTGGTTTTGAAGCACTTCTCAGAAGTGGGATCTCAGCTAGGATTGTCCATACTGTGTTAGATTCAGAGTTTAAAAAACAAAATTGCTTGTGTCACTGGCCAGTTCGTTATGGTTCAGCCCTTAGAGAAATATATATAAAATTTCTAGTCACATACCCTTGGGAAACTATCACCTAATTCCTACGTATTAGAGAATATCTTAAAATCTGTGCAAGAAAGGTTTTATATTCCTTTCCCAAAACATCTAGCATTGATGACTATAACACTGTCTATTATTGCAGTCCAGATAAAAGATTATGACACGAAAATGGCCATCTTCCAATCTAGACAAAAAATGTCTTTTCCCCCTTGCAATTGACGTTGATGGTAAATACATCTTGCAGCTCGTGTCAACAATATATTCACCAGAATTGCAAATATAAACTATATGATATCATTGGAAGCACGTCTTGGCCAACAGTATAATGCAGTTCATTTAGCTGATCATGAGTCAAAGGGAAATATTGATATTTAAAATGGCAAATGTTACCCTGTAGAACGGGAAAGAGAGAACATTACTGAGAAGGAGGCTTGGGTGAGAGCCAGGAGACATTTCAGGCTGTGTGAAATGGTGCTGCTTTTAGCAGTTTGGTCTGCTCCGCCGACAAGATAGCAGATCAGGAAAGCTGCCTGTCTGTGTGGACAAATCAGCAAGTTGCTACAGACACGAGAAAAAAGTGATGATTAAGTCTTGTTATAAAGTTGCCTTTTCTGTTGTTAAGCATAATAAGCACATTTCCCACACATTAGCTGATATTTTCTTCTTACATCATCTTACACAAACAAGCCAGTACTGTGATTAAAGGGCCAACCTTCACCAAGTGCAAGTTGGGTCTAAAATATGTATTTATTGCATTACTCTTCCAGGTCTATGATGATGGGAAATATGTGTACCTGGTGATGGAGCTGATGAGGGGAGGCGAGCTCCTGGACCGCATTCTTCGGCAGAAGTGTTTCTCAGAACGAGAGGCCAGCGCCGTGCTGTGCACCATCACCAGGACTGTGGACTACCTGCACTCCCAGGGCGTAAGCATTGCAATTTTGGTTCTCTGCAGCTGTTCTCTTAAATTCCAACTTTTAGAAAAAGTGAATAGTTGTGATTATACTTCTCTGAAATATAAATATGTTTTTACCCCCCAAAAAAGTGTTCAGACAAAATAATGTTTCATTCTTTTCCCATGTTTGGAATTGCATTTAGGTTGCGAAATAGGGTCACAGGCTTTTTAGCCACTTCCTGGCTGAACTGCAGTATGTCAAAGTGGTATTTTCGTCCCCAAACTACACTGATTTTCAAGTCTGTGTAACTTGCTGAGGTAGATTGCTTCTTATCACAGTCATTATTGCCATATCTGATCTTTTAACTGAATTTCAGATAGAGTATCTGAGTCAGCAGATAAGTAAAAAATCAAATGCTCAGTTTTCAAAGCAAAGTAGCAGTTTGAGCAGCTGATGAGAAAGGTTTCTGACATGCTGTTAAAGAACTGACTTCTAAAATCTAAGTTTTCTATATACAGCAGTTTGAAAATCTCTCCTTTTCCACTTTTCAGGGACAAACAGTTTGGATAACTAGTCAAATATTTGCTTCTTTTTCCTTTCATGGTTAAAACAAGTGCATTTTGTGCTTGGACCTGTATGTTTTCATGATAGCTTTACAGTGTAGATATAGAGGCTGTTTTCCCAATGTAGAAATGCAGTGCCTGTTGTAAAACACATAGCCACTTGAAGTTGGGTACCTACAGAAAGGATTTTTGTGAAAAGTAACCCCTCCCTTCAGGTGTGAGCTACTCATACGAACAGTCACAAGAAGACCCTTATTCATTTTCCTCCTCTGACAGGATTTCTTTTTCACCTTTCAGCTGAATATTTAGGGCTATCCAGGAGACTCTGACAGCAATGTGTTTGTACAACAGTCCCCGCTGCTCTCACTCAGGAAGAAATTCCCCCCGCTTTGAGCAGATGTCTCCATCATAATGTATCAGCAGAGGTTGCAGGACTTGTTCTTCCTGATTTTAACAGATTTTAAACTTTTCCCCCCTTCCTTTACCTGAGTCTTTTTAAGCAGCTTTTCTCCAAAACTGAAATATTTTAGGCATGAGCTCTTGACCGACCTCAAATATCAGAGCAGAAAGGGCAGCCAGCCCTGGGTGCTCCCCCACCTCCTCCCCTTACTTGTTATTCACTGCTTTCTCATTAAGGTGGTGCACCGGGATTTGAAGCCAAGTAATATCCTCTACATGGATGAGTCAGGAAACCCAGACTCCATCAGGATCTGTGACTTCGGCTTTGCCAAGCAACTGAGAGCGGAGAATGGGCTGCTCATGACTCCCTGCTACACCGCCAACTTCGTCGCCCCTGAGGTAGGATTGTGTTTCAACGCCGTGACTAAGGAGCATGGCACAGAAAGCTGTCCTCCATCCTGCTCACCTTTTTTCTCACTGCCTTTCAAAGAGGAGCAGGGCAGAATGCAGGCTACAGGCACTTTTGCAGGTTTTGTTACCATACGTCTCCTGTTCATGTCAGCCTTCTCAGGCCAGTTGTTTCTCTCCTGACAGAAGCCGGTGTTTGTCTCGTACTGACGTACAGCATGCTTTGGGCTCATTACTGGGATAAATACCATTTTTCCTCTAGCTGCTTCTTCTCAGAGTGCTTGCCCTCCAGTGCATTGCATCAGAACAGAGTAAGGCTTAGAAGGGAAATCTTGATATCAGGAATAAGACTTGAAAGAAATATCCATGGTGGAAATCCTTACAGAGCTGAAGTCAGTGGAAGCTTTGCCACTGATTTGATTGAGCTAGAGAAAGATCTCTCCTCTTGAGCTTTTCTAGCACCAATCCCCCTGTTAGAGGGGATGTACGAACTATAGTGAAGATAAGAAAATTGTAAAGGTCTTGAAACTCCTCTCTCCCAGGCCCACCTGTCTATCTTTCCACTCATTTTGGAAACAACGGTTGAAATTCTTTGCGTTGTCAAATCTCTGGGCTTATCTTCCTATACCCACTTCTTATACCTTACCCTGCAGAACTGCTCATGGGATAACAGACTGTCTGATATGAGTAACAGACCAGAACTGGCCTTCCCTTTTCTGATGAATTGCAATACCTTGGGGTTCTCATCCCTGTCTGCCCTGACATCACCTGTGAGAGGGAGGAGAGGGCTGCTTTCCTATTTTTGCAGACAGGAAAATAGAGGTGGGCCAAAGAGCTTGCCTCAAGCCTGGGGAAAGGTGGTTTTGCATCACCAGTGAGCATTGCTCCTTTTGCTCAGACCCACTGCAGTGAGGTTTGGTTCCCACAGCTGGTTGGGTGGTTTTGTCCTTTCACTGTGTTGGGTACTTGATATTTCATAGCTGCTTCTTTCCAATGAAAGACAAAGAGGTTATTTTTCTGGGTTATTTTCTATTTCTTGCAGCAATGCTCATCAACATTTTTTGTATTTGCAATACACAGCTTCAAATGAGCATCTACTTTTGCTTGTTGCAGTCCCTGTAAGAAAAATGCAAAACTATTGCCTTTCAATACTTCATCTGTCCTCTGCTGTCAAACACCACTTTCTCTCAGTTGATATCGTTCATCAATCTTTTCTGCCCCATAACTGTCCTCCACCTCATCTGTGTGGTTGCAATTGGAAAGTGAAAAATGGGGTGATCTTTCTGTACATTTTCCTTTTGTGATGCCAAAAGATACAGGAATGAGAGCCTTCCAGCGTCAGAAAGAGAATTTGTTAAATTGAGACCATTGCCAGGGGCAGTATAAATTCAAAGCAGATTTTTTTCAGCAAAAATATTCCATTGCCAAGGCAGATTGGTTTGCTATTTGATGTCTCTCTTTTTTTTTTTTTTTTGTTTGTTTGTTTTTTCTTTTTTCATTTTAGATACTGGAATGAGCTGTGTAAAATTTATCAAGATAATTTCTGGGGCACCACAGCATTTTAATTTCCAAAATGAAAAATAATTGTGTTTCCAAGATTTAAAGAATTGAGATTTTCTCCGGGATCTAATGTGATTAAAATAGGTGCAGCTATTTTTCATGATGGGCCATTTTGTACAGTGTCTGTAATCACAAACCTTGCCAGACATTGTTTTTTCAGGTTCGCCTCTTCCGATTTGAACTGAAAGCAGAAATCATGGTCCCAGACGTTTGTGATGAGTAAGACAGGTTCGGCTAATGCAGGAAACGCTGGAGATTAGCTGAAACATTACCAGAACTGGCAGAGAGCTTAATAAAGCCCTAAGTGCTTTTACGTTTTACCTGCGATATAATGCTGCCCTCCAGCCTGGACCTGACTTGTGCATTCTCCGAGCCTCTCTGCAGCATCTGCAGCGTGCTTACAGCACTCAAACGAGAAGGCAGAAAGTCAGCCAGGCTGATGACACAAGGGGACAGTGGCAGAGGAATTATGACATGTTTGCATACTCGAGTATCCCTTTGTTGTGGAAACATTGAATTTGAGACTATCGGGAAAGCTGAAAGCTCTGCGAGAGAAAGAAACACTCTGCCACCTAGTGCGGGCTGTGTCCTTTGCAGAGAGAGAATAGCCAGGCTTGATCAGGAGGAAAACCACAGTACTGTGTTGCTGTAGTGCGGCAGGGCCATTTAGAAAAGGACTTTATTCTGCAGATTTCTTACAAAATCCATGAAGATTTGTGTGTGTGTGTGTTTGGTTTTTGTTTGTTTTTGTTTTTTGTTTTGTTTTGTTTTTGCATTTGAAATTATAAGATTTTTTATTATCTTTCATGTCCGTACACTTCTTTCCTTGTATCACAGCTGAGAAAAGCCTGTATTCATAACTCTGTTAATCCAATAAATCAAAACATATAGAAATAATAAACGTCTGGATAAGCATCTGAACCATTACCAGAACTGAATAAACCCAGCAGAATTTTGGTCCTTGGCACCACGATGCCCTGCTGTGTGTGGAGCTAAGAACCAAATCATGCATGCGTTTCAGATCTCACCAAACACTCTGATGTTTGGGGTGATGTAGGGTGATGTAAAACCCTTCTATATGGTAAATCTTTCAGCACCCACTAGAGCAGGAACCCACTGCATCTTTTGCAAAGCTTTTTCACTGTGCTTAGATTTCTTGCTCTCAGATTTGTTTCAAGACACATGCCTGTTATTGTTTGAAGATGTCTGCCCCCTAAGGCAAAACCTAATCTTTTTGGCCAACATTTCCAACACTTGATCCTGCCAGCTTAACATTCTCACTTTAACCACAGATGCAAAAACCTGTTGGAGACATTTTACAATAGCAGTGTCATTAACTAGTGACTCTCGCTATCTGCTGTTGTTATCTGTGGGGTGACATTGCTGCTGATAAGAAATAATTGCCACCAAGGCTTTCCTAGGCACAGAGCGAATGTCCGTGTTAGCTAGCAGAGTTGTTTCAAACTGAGTGACAGCATGCAGCGACACCTGCCCATTATTTTGGAGTTGTGTCACCACTTGCTTAATAGCCTACTCCTCTAAACTTCATAACTGCTCCATCTTTCTGTCATTTGCTTTTGACTCAATTTTCCGTGGTAATTTGAGGAAGGACAGTGATGGCAGTGAAAATGTAACTGCTTTGGAAGGAACAAGTATGCCCACACCAAAAGATAAATGTTGGGCATTCAGTATCACACATGGAGCAAAAAGCAACTGAGCTTAACAAATAGCAAAAATCTTTTTTTCATAAAAACTAACATAATAGAGGGCCAAGGAATGCAGGTACTAAAGAAATAGAAACAATTATAACAGCCACAGAGTACACATAATGTGCAGGAGAGAGAGACAGAGGTAGGATTTTTAGCAGCTTTGTCAACAGGAGAAAGTGCATTTTTTTTCTCCATATTTTTTCAAGGTAGCAAATGTTCGCTTAGCAGCATACCTGGCAGATGGTTGCTTTACCACTCATCATTTGTAAAATCTGTCAAGACAACATTTTCTGAATTTTTTTTTTTCTTTTTTCTAGCAACTCTTGGTCTCTTCTGTGATAAACTCCCACTAGCTGAAATAAATACTGGGTACTAAGCCCCAAGGACAGAAAAAGACTTGTTGAATTTATACATTCCTTTTTCATGTGCGTTGCAAAGCAATAATTTATCTACCAATCCAGCAGAAGGGGACAAAACTCTCCTTGTGTGTCAGAATTGAAGTTAAGTAAACAGAATGGTCGTTTGCTTTTATGAGCAAGTAGAAGATCCAGAGGTGGCTCCTGAGCCTTTCAGAGCCAGAGAAACAAAGTTCTTCCCCTAGCCTCAGCAGTGCTCTGTCAGTCAGTGACTTTGCTTGCACGTGGACCTGTACTGACTCAAACAGATGTTTCTTCTGACATGCATTAGCATAAATGAAATCCAGATCACACCTTTACTGGTCTGACTGTCCATCCTGTACCAATACTGAACCTAATCAGATCTCTGCTGAGTACTGTGGGGTTTGGTTTACCTATATGGAAATGGGATCAAGTTTCAGCCTGTTACCTGTTAAGCCCAGTCTACATGTGGCCACTTTTCTTAAACTAAAAGTAAGATGAGAATAACCCTTTTGTTTTTCTTTGCAGTTGTCATGCATCTGTACTATTCTGACACTAAACCTGAGTTAGTGAGCATCTGTTTGCTCTGCCAGATCCAAAGCTCAGACGTGCCCACCACTGTCACTCAGCCCCATGCTTGTTGCATCCACAGTGGACTTGGTGACCTCCACATTAGGAGGACACATTTCAAAGTGTTAACTAGCTTTCTTTAAGAAATGTTTTAAAACACTGAAGTAAGCAGAGAGGGTTGTTCTGCTCTGCTGTGTGGTAGGTGGTCAGAGGTGTTGAAGGCCAACAAACTGCCTTCAGCTCCACCGTGGTGGAGGTGGCAGCTGTGCTGTGCTTGCACACCAAACATACAGAACATTTTACTCCTGATGCAGTCACCTATTCAAGCCAGACATTAGGGCAAGCCCTGAAAATGTTACCAGATGCAATCCCTGATCAGTACTTCTCGAAACCCAGAAGCTAAAATTCACGATTGTGGATTATCCAGTTTTCACCCTTGTCTTTCCTTCACATAGGTCCTTAAACGCCAAGGTTACGATGCAGCCTGTGACATCTGGAGCCTGGGGATCCTGTTGTACACCATGTTGGCAGGGTAAGTGGAGAGGTTTTCCTCCAGAGGGCGTACTTTAGCAGGGATCAAGACAGAGAGGAGTCACGCACAGACTGCAAACTGGCTGTCCTCCTCACGGAGATGTGCTCAATTGTATGAGGCAAAAAAAAAAATAGATGCCAAGACCTAGAATTAGAATAAGTTTTTCCAAAATATACAAGTATCTTTGACACTTTACAAGTAGCTTAGGTTTTTAACAGCCTGGGCCAGTAAATGTTCACTGAGACATCTAAAAGGTTACTCTCCACTTAAGTTACATTAAAGTTTTACATCAGAAGAGTAATTTAGGAGTGGTATGCGGAGAGCAGGTCATGGTCACCTCACCAGTAAGAAATTTATTCACTCCTATTAATACATGTATTCTCTTCAGTTTCATTCTTCTGCGGTTGTTGTTAATGAGGTATTTCAGCACCTTCAAAGGCTAAAAAAAAGAAAACAAACTAAAAAAAAAAAAAAAGCTTTTCAGAAAGAACAGAAAGTAAATGAATAGATCAGTAAGAACAGCAACAGGCAACAGGCAGCATGATTTTGATTAAAGAACTACCAATCTCTAAAGTTAAATATTGGCACAAGAAGGCTGGAAGATTGAAATAAGCAGAGAGGGATAAGAATAAGATGTGCTGGGTGAATGGGAAACACAATGTACAAAGCCAATCTGGAGATATCAGACCCCTGCACTTCATCTCTTTTGCTGGCTGCAGGGTGTGGTATGTGCATATTTATCCCAGCTAAGTGCTGCTTGAAACTTTTCAGTGACCTCTGACAGCTCTTTAGTCTACTTCATGATCATTCAGCTGGCAAGACGGCAAGAAGCTTGGATTCATTCCTAAATTCATACAGGAAACAAACAGATCCTGCTGTTACGTTATTCATGTCACTTGCTTTGTGGCTTTCAGAAAAGGTGCCAGGAGTTTCTGTCCCATATATTTTGTTCCTGATTACAGGTGTGTTCAGCGTTAGCTGAAATACACTGGGACTTTCTGGAGCAGTCTCCCAGTCTGCTGTGATCCTCTCAAAAATGCCATTTCTACTTGGCTAATGTCATGGATTTGCATTGATACACAACCAGAATCAGTAAATAAAATCAACACATTACCAAGAGTCACATTACTTAGCTGATTATATTCAAAATGTTTCTTTTTGAAATGTGACGCTAAAAAAAATCCAAATATATTTTAATCTGAAATACATATTACATAATCAGCAGATGCTAAATTTGCCACCAGGTGCCACTGAATTGTATCTCACCTTTTTCTACACTTAAAGGAGAAAATAAGAGTAAAGTGATCAGAAGTGCTGACTTTTTAGGTGCCACCACTGCATCAGGGATGCTCTTGTTCTTCCTTACCAGAGGAGAGAAGCTGGAGCTGACTGTTGGTTGCACTCAGGATGTTATTCTCCTCCCATCATCACTATGAGCTCAGACACTGAAGGCTAGAGTACGAGTCTGGATCCTATTAATATTTGGTATTGCAGCAGTGGGAATGACAGTCTTTGGAGTATTGGCCAGTCCTGAACATTCACTGCATCCTTTTCAGTAGTTACAGCATGGAATAACAGCGTGGATCTCTCTGGGCTGAACTTCTGTGAAATCTGAAATGATCTTGAAAGTTAGAAAATACAGTGTGAGGAATTGAATGTGCCGGGGGGATAGGAAGCTATGGCCAAACCAAGATGTCTGTTTAACAACCTAAAAACCAAACTGGAAGGTTTCCAGAAAAGAAAAGACAGATGGAAGGGAAGATATAAAAATCCCAGATACCCTCCTCTTATAAATCTGCACAGCTGTTCAAGATTGCAGAGTAAAATTTGGCTTGGCAAATTTTAGTCAGTTGCAAAATCTTACCACTTGTCACTTTATGAAGAAAAAAACCTGGGCCCTGTACATGTGGCACTGATTTTGTAAAGCTGAGTACATGTTACTACTAATTTCTGTCTGGCTAGATCAGGAAGATTTTAAATAACCCATTACATATAATTTGTTTTGTCCTGCAGACTTGCACATTGTGATTTTATGATTAACAAAGAACTGCAAAACAGACTACAAAGTGTTCTTTTTTCCTTTCTTTTTTTCTGTTTCAGATATGAAGTTTTCTCCTTTATTATTTTTACTCTCTGTTCCCATTATCATGGTTCTTCTATCAGCAATAAAACTGAGTAAAAATGAATAAAGAAAAAGTGAAAACCTGTGAATTTAAATATATATATATATTATATTGCTTAAAAATAAGAATGAAATGGAAATATATCTAAAAAGATCTTTTTTTTATTTATTTAATATGAGGAACCATTGTACTGTGTAGCTTGAGTGAAAATGAAGTAGCTATGGTGGTCCATTCTGGAAGCAAATTCCTGTTGAAATCAATGGTATTTAATATTAGATTCTAGAAATCATATACCTGCAAATTTGCAAATTACTTTTTTTTTTTTTTTTTTTAAATAGGTTCACTCCTTTTGCAAATGGACCAGATGATACCCCAGAGGAGATTCTGGCCAGGATTGGCAGTGGCAAATATGCACTTACAGGAGGAAACTGGGATTCAGTATCTGACACTGCAAAGGTCAGTGGACACTTTCTCAGATTTTTTTCTTGTTCTCTTGAATGGGATGGCAGTCTGCAATTGTAACAAACTTAGAGACAGTCAGAAGGGTTATTTCTCAGTGTCTTATGAAATAAGAGCTCACTTGTTCATACTACTCTAAATTAAAAAGTGCTACAAATTTTGGTAGTTTATTTCCTTAAATTAAGGCATAATATAGCACCATCAATTATGCACTGTCAAAATTAATATTGCACAGAATTGTTTTGTCACGCGGCTGAACTTTTAAAAGAAGTGTAGGGTAGTCAGTGACACAAATATGTGGTCTATATGTGAATCACCTTTTTCTTCCTCAAACTTAAGCATGAGCAGGCAGTAAATAAGGTAGCATTTTTAACTTTTGTACTGTCTGCAGTTGAGGCTGCCCATCTATTACAAAACCTGAAAAACCCAGGAGCTAGAATTCAACTGGTGCTGAGACTTTTGGACACAAAACCATGCACTAGTCTGTGAGACAGGCGGATGGGCAGGAGAGCTGGCAAGCTTACAGTTATCTGGCATCAATTAGAAACTTTGACACAATTTTTATATTCCCTCAGGAGATTTCAGTTTTAGCAACTGGCAGTATCCAATGGAAAAACATTGATATATTCCACCACAAAACCACAAGAAATCCTAGCAACTTATTCATCTTGCTAACAGCACCTATGAGGCTCATTGTCAGACAATGAATTTTTCATCAGATGTCCGGTTTGGAAATTAAGATATTCAGATGTGGTGGAACTGGTATCACTGAATTTTATCTGCCTTGAATGTTTGGTTTCTGTTCTATGCTTCCCTTGTAAGCAGACTCCGGAGTCAGTGAAAAGATGCCTGCAGATGGCATCCTCTCTAGGTAGCATTTATCACTCCTACAAGGTCGCTAATAATTGTTAACACTCTTTCAAGAAGCTGCATACCTGCCACCTTATCTTTTGTTTGGATTATCAGTTGAGAATTGAACATTAGCCCTGAAAATTTTGTAGATCAGACTTTACACTTAAAAACTACAAAGCATATCTGAAATGCATCCCCCTGTCCATTCGGCATGCTGATGACTGCCATTGGGAAGATCTTGGTAAATCCTGCACTACCAGTAATTACTTTTTTATTTTTACTGTCTTCTTCCTTTTAAACCCAGGACATTGTGTCTAAGATGCTTCACGTAGACCCTCATCAGCGCCTCACAGCAGTTCAAGTGTTAAGACATCCGTGGATAGTGAACAGGGAGTACCTGTCTCAGAACCAACTCAGCAGACAGGACGTTCACCTGGTGAAGGTATGCCCTACACCCTTTCTTCTTTATTTCTTCCAGAAAGAGTTGGGATTTGTGTAAATATTCTGGAAAGTGACAGAGGAATTGGGAAAATAGTTTGCCACAGAGGCCAAATTTCATATGGCAGTAGACTAGCAGTAAAGCTTTTTGACCCATTATCTGCTTGATATTTTTAACTTCCAGCTGCATTATAATGAACTGGTGAGAGTCTGCACATCGTTCTACCCACTGCTTTGAATCAGAGACACCCCAGCTGTCTCCCAGCCAACAGGAGCTGTGATCATTTTGTGGAAATTGTCCCTGCACAAGGGGATTGGATAGGGAAATAGAGGGGAGAAGCATGAAAGAGATGAATTTTAGCCCATTTTTTTCTCTTTTTCTACTTCACAGGGTGCAATGGCAGCCACTTACTTCGCTTTAAACCGAACACCTCAGGCACCAAGGCTGGAGCCTGTATTGTCCTCCAATCTGGCTCAGCGGAGGGGCATGAAAAGACTTACCTCAACCAGGTTGTAGCAGTACCCCAAGAGGCCTCTTTGGAAACCCACAGTTTATTATTCGACAGATTCATCTTTACTTGGTTAGAACTTTTTTGGACACCTTGCATACGAAATCACCAGAACTAGCAGAAGCCCAGCATAAGGCAAAGTTTGCCTTTGCTCCATCATTTCTTTTACATTCCATCCAGGATCCTGAGTTTATCAACTTCACGAAGATGTGCCAACTTTGCTGGTAGCTCTGTTTCCTTACTGAGATAAAGCCAAATAATGTAGACGTGCTCCATCCTTCCCTCCCTAGGAAATACTATTTTTGAGTCTTGAAGATGTTCCGTGGGAACATAGTTTTCATTTTGTTTCTCAAGAAAAGCACTTTTTGTAATGAAGACGCAGTCAGGTTTGAATGTTCTCAGCGGTTCCAGCAGGTGTCATGATGAAGTGGCTCGGCTGGTCACCCCTAAACACCTACTGATCTCCACTCGCTCCAGGAAGAGTGAAGGCTGCAGAGACACATGGATGATATCTTACTTGAAATAAGCATTATTCGACATGAAGGAGAGTGAGCTGCCAGTGGTGGAAATACCATCTGATTTCAAGAAATCTTTTGCACTTTGCCCCTGATCTCTCTGGAAGAAAGTCAGCACTGGTTGAGGAGGAGCGCATGCCGTGAGCTTGACTTACTTGGAGGCCTGGCCCACCAAGAGCAGAAAGTCTCTGAGAAACTTGGTCCTCTGAGGAGATTATGGGGTCTCATGAGACTGTGGGAGAGCATTCATGTAAAACACTGGGAGTAGGAGCCTGTGGGTCAGGGGACACAAGGGTATCTGGTCTTGGCTAGCAAGGAGGAGACCAGCAGGCAAAGCCACCCACGGCAGCATGGTGGGGAGCGCTGCCCGAGGGAGCTGGCGTGCAGGTGCTTTGGAGGCAGACTGGGGTTCCCTATGAGGGAAGGGGATGGTCCCCCACCTGGGGGTGGTCCAGAAGAGGCTCTGTGGGTGCCTGGGCTGCAGAGGGGCCAGGCAGCTGCCCTCCCATAGCGATGATCCTGCTCCAGGCCTCCTCCGATGCCCTGCTTCCTGCCCTTCCTGCAGTGTCTGCTTCTGAGGGGCCCAGCTAACTCTGTCACTAGCTTTAATAACAGTACATTCTGAGGAGAAACAGGAGGATGCTGTGCTTTTATATTTATATAAATATATACGCGTGTATTTATATATAAATATAAAAAAAAAATCTGTACCTAATACCTGGATTTTTCAGGTTCATGGAAAGAAAACATGGTTGAAAGGATCTCAGCAAAATGGACATTTTTTTTTTTTCTCATTCCCTGAGCTATTTTTTTATTGTTTTTCTTATCCATTGTGGCATATGGTGGTCAAGAGCTGACCAGGATTCTTCTTTGTACTGCATTTGTTAATTTTTGTTTTCCAAGTGAATTTGTCACCTCAGATGCTTTGTGGGAGAAGTTAATGTGCTATGTTGGCTTTTTTTTTCTGTTGTGAAGGGGAAAAAAAAATGTGAACATGGAGCTTCGTATGCTAGAGATAGCAGTTTTCCTTGCTGGGTAGTTTGTACATTGTGGTGCCAAACTGGAATTTCCAGACCATGGCATTGGTGTCCAAGGGAACGAGGAGTTGCATTTGCTATAGCAATATGCTCCCTAAAACAATCTGTGTTCCAGTGTTGACTGAATTTTGTTTGTTTGCATTAGTCTATTTTTAAATTTAAAATTATTCTTAATAATTTAAACCAATATTTAATGTTCAGGTTTATGTGCTGTGCACACAGGAATGCTGCAAAGCAGCTCTCCTTGAAGCCCTTCTCTTTTCTAGAATAAACAATGCTGTAAAACTTCACAGAGAGGATGAATTGGCTTGAATTGGAGTGTGTGAACATGCGCAGGTGTGTCTATGTTTATCTACATAGCAGCAGAGAATAATATACCTTAACTGGCTAAGCTACTCTGGCTAAGCTGTGCTCAGTATCAGCTTTTTGCTGCCTTTACACTTTTTCTCTCTCTGGAAGCTAATTAAGTCCCATGTACTTCTGTTGTCAGTACACTGAGATGTGAGTCTGCAGGTAGGGGATGTCCTGGCTCGTGCAAAAATGCTCTGGCGAGGTCCCTGGGAGTGACTTCTGTCCCAGAGGAAGGCAAGATGAGCACAAGGATGCTAAGGGCAATCTGGAGGGAGGGCTGGATGTTCTGGTGTCCCAGTTGATTTGTGCTATTTCAACAAAATGTCTTTTTAATGTGTAATTGTATGTGGGCAGAAAGAGTGCTGTAAATATTAGGTACAGTTTTTGTCTCCCCTGGAGATTTCCTGGTCATCTTTCATTGGTTCAGTTTGCTTTCTCTTCACAGCCATTGGAAACAGTTTGATCCCCTCTTGATATACATTCAGTCTTAGGTTTTTGAGCATTTTTTTTTAATGTGAATATTGTTGTAAGCCAAGCTTACTGGATGCGGGTCTTCCAGAAACTTGATGGTTTGAATCTGTTCCTCGTCTAGCTCTTCAAACTCACCATCTATATCCCTATTAATCATACAAGGTTTGGGATGTGTACTGATTGGTATATTTGATTATCATTGATTATTTTCCTTTAAAGGCCCATAAATTACATATAATGGTTTTTGATTACCAAGTTTTTTTGTTGCCAGTACATCCAGATGTATGCACGTGTCTGTGTCCATGCAAATACGCTATCTCAGCTTGTCCAAATTAGAAGGATATCAGTGTAGTCAGTGCTTGAAGTGATACTCAGAGGAGTTGGGTCTGTGGTGTTCTTGAAAATCTGACACTGGTAACAGTAGTAGTTGCTCTGGGTGTGGACAGGCACGTGGCTTAGAAAGCAGTTCTGCCCATGGATGAAGTTGTCATGTGGGACCTCCCCTCCACCCCAGCTATGTATCCTTGTGCATACCACAGCAGATCACCCACCGCACAGGCTTGCTACTGGAGATACTCTTGCGATGATTTTTCTGATCTGTTTCAGTCAAAATGAACCCAATTAATCCATTTCCATAGTTGATCTGGCTGATGCAACTCACTTGGACTGAAATACAAGAGTCTCTGTCAGCAAATTGAAGGCACAGCCACTCCTGCTGGTTTGCATTCATTATTTCAGACTGATAGCAGCTGCCACTTCCCCCAGCCCAGCTGCATCCAGGGGAAGATGCATGACCATGGCCTAACTGCTGCTCTGCCTGCTTTATACCAGCATCTCCTTTCCACGCGCCTTGCTACACGACAGCTCAGCAATAAGCATTTATTCTTTCTAGGAGAAAACTTAACTGAAAAAGGCTTAGCCTCTCTCTCTCTCTCTATATATATATATATATTTAATCTTAAGGAACTTTACTGAATGCTGTGCTTAACTCCTGAAAGTCTAAAAATTTCTTTGAATTATTTTTTTTTCTCTTTGATAATACCATCTTGCAGGTTATTAGTCCACAAAGCGACCTAGTGCCTTAGGCTATTATTAATAGTACAGTTCAATTTTCAAACCATCAAAGTGCATAAAGCAGTGACAGTCCAAGGCATCCTCACTGTCTGTCACAGTCAGCTGAGTAGCTGACTGTTTAGATAGACAGAATTTATAAAGCCTGACATTTTCATCAGAACACAAATAACCCCACAGACACTTTGTAATCAATCCCTGCATCTGAAAGAAAAAGAAAAAAAAAAAAAGGAAAAAAAAAAGACCATGTAACAATAAATTTTCATTTGCTTCTGAAGAAAACCAGCATGAACAGTTCCCCACCCCCTCTCCCCGGGCATGGGGCTGACCCAGGCACAGGCTGCTGGGAGGATCAGAGTGTGTCGCGCTTCTCTAAAGCACGGATCGTGTGTCCCTGAGCTGCACCTAGCCTTGTGTGCAGCACCAGAGCTGTTTTCAGCCAGACTTATGGCTGAACAAGTTTTGGACAGAGTTTGAAATGGATAATAAATCTGTTGGCCTAAAGGGTAGATCAGACTCTATTATGAATCAACACGTGAATCTTTAAGGCACAGAGAAAGGACACAAATCTGTTTGCCTGGGTAGCGCTGAGCCACAGCACAAGAACTGAAAACTCGTACCAGGCACTGGTACAGCTCAGCAAAGGCAGTTGCTGTGTGTCTGACATGACTTATGGCCAGGCTCGGATCATCCCCTAAACCACTCCTGTGTGCACTTTTGCGTGCCACAAGGTTTTCTTACGCCACTCGTCCCTTGAGCTGCAGCCAGCGTGTGCCAGTGCTGAGGCTAAAAAAAGCCAGTTACTCTCTCTTGACCTTAGATGCTTTCTGTGCTTTCCCACCTCCCTTACCCAGGTCACAGTGGGGCAAAGCAAATGTGTCTGAACAAGTGGCTGGGGACAGCAGCAAGGCAGCAGCATCTTCTCTGACGGCAGCGCTGTGAGCATGCTGCTGGGTCACAGCTCGGGTGCCACCCACCTCCCTCTGCCTTATGCTGAGCCAGGCTCAGGTGTCACCGTTTTTTTGTAGGGAAATGGGTTAGCTAAGCCAGGCTGTGCACACAGAGGTAGAAGGCCAACTGAGGCCTCGAAGTTCACCACAAGTTCACATAAGCTGCCTGTAATCGGGAGGTGTGGGCTTACAGATGGCATGCCATGGGGAGACAGTGCTGACTGTGTATTTTGGCCACAGGTGAGCTTATAAAGAAGATAGTAAAAATCCTGGCATCTGTCTATAAATAATCCATTTTTACAGAGGAAATCACCAATTTTCTGGAGTGTGATGGCACTCTAGATCCCTCACAAGAGGAAGGCAGATAAACATGGAAGTTAAAATGGATTACTGAAAAGGAGGTATCTTAGCTTCCACAACAAAACAATTTTTTTTTTTTTGAAGCTGTATGTTAAGATGTTTGTAGCAAAATTGCCAAAGCAGACAATTTGAAGCAAAATTCCTTCTCTGAACATCTGCAGACTTCTCCTTTAAACAGAAGCCAAGTGAGATCCAGGGTCACGCATCTGAATCCTGACAGACACACACAGCACAACTGGGCCAAAGATCTTTTAGATTCAAATAAAAAGGTTTAAAATAATGCCAATCAGGTGTTTTAATATAGTTCATAATAAAGGAAAATGTGCATACTCATTTTCTTTCCTCCATTTTCAAGTACACATCAAAATACTACAGAAGTGTGTACCCTTACATGCCAGCCGACCTTGCTCCAACAGCTCTGTGCTGCCCCAAGGTGTTGGGGTTTGGCTGCCCCTTCCACAGCTGCCCATAACAGGCACAAGTAAAAATCACACATCCGTCAGAGTCTGAGAGCAAAACTTTGAGTATTTTTACTCAGAAAATTAAGGTAAAAGTAAGGCTCTCGCTATGTACATAAAAAAAATCCTCAGTGTTTAGGTGAAGGGTGGGTGGAAGCCTGTGGAGAACAAGAATGGTACGGAGAAAATAAAGTCATGTTTGTTCTTACAGCCAAATTTTAGCCAAAACCAGTTTGTGAGTTTTGTGAGCCTCGGCCTAGCATCTCCACATGCAAGTGGGTGACCACACACATGAGTCAGCCAGCTAACCAGGCATCTGATCGTGCATGTAAGTGCTGGCTTGCACGTGTAGAGGTTTTGCAGCCTAAAGTACAGAGTTTTGTCGTGTTGTATCCACCTGTGTTGTGTTAACCATGATGTTCAGTGTTGAAGTGTACAACCACCCATTCTTGGCTAAGTATAAGCAGTTGCAGATTTAGTTTGTGCTCCACTGTCTCATAAATGGATGTGACGGTCATAATTTTCAGACATCATAGACTGAAAGGCAAAGGGGGAAAATTCCCCTTTTGGATAAAGGGGAATTTTGAAGGGGGAGTCTGGACATAAGCATTTGGAAGCACAGAAAATGAAAACCAATTGCAAAAAGATTGTTTCTGATTTGTTCCTTGTAGCCAAATCTTGCCTCCCTTATTCTTGTTGTATGTGTACCTTATTCTGTACGCGGCTCTGGTGCGACCCAGGGTCAGCTCAGAGCAGGGTCCTCCTGGTGTCACAGCAGTGGAGCCTGGCCATTAGGCGATGATGTGTGCAAGGGGTTTACTTGGGCAGTATTAAATGAATCTGTCAAATTACGAACCATCATCTAGCACTTTGTTTACAGGCTCCATATTCATGTTTACAATGATTTCTGAGGCTCACACTTTTTACGTTTCCTGTATGAAAAGGGCAGCCAGTGTACAGATATTTATTATGTTTACCAGCGTTTCCGAATAGATTTTTTTTATAGTACATGGTTTTATGAAGTGTAATATTTTTATAGCAGAACGATGACCTTTGGACTTTCTATATTGTTACATACAACTGTTTGCAAATAAGCTCTTTGCTCCCCTCTCTCTGTGCACTGTGTCCCGTGTTGCTGCTGCTACTGTTGCTGGCCTCAGCTGCTGCTGCCCTGCGGTGCTGTGGGCTGACGGTGTTGTGAAACTGTGCGAGCTGAGCTGACTGCCAGGAGCTGTGACTGTGCCGAAGGGCTGGCTGCCTGCTGGGATCCCGGCAGGAGGATGGGGAGCTGGGCTGTACCAGGGCAAGGGCTGGCTGTGGGTGGCCCTGAGGGGAAGCCTCAGTGCTCACCTTTGTCTGTATTCTGCTGTTCTGGCTTGGCATGCCCGTCCTTTCCTTTCTTTATAAAGAAATAAAAAAAATAATAATAAAAAAAAAAAAAAGAAGAAAAAAAGAAACAAGTCCTGCTTGTTTTTGCATGACTCCTTTCCAGCTCACAAGCACTGGCTGTGTTTGAATGCTATGTGTTGGTCACAGTAAAGGCACACCGTTACCTTTCCAAGTTACACCTGGAGCTGGTACCTCCATGCAGGTACACTCAGACCTCTGATTTGGGAAGCAACAAGTAAGCTTTTAACCCCTCATCAGCTAGACTTTTCACCCACCAGGCAAACTTGGGATTTCACTGCCAGACCAACAAGAGCATTCACACAAGCTGCCTGACGTGGATTTCCCTTACCCCTCAGAGCCCTTCTATGGCACGGTTCTTCTGTGAACTGCTGGCAAGCAGCCTGCATAGCTTCTTCTGCTTGCTGACCTTATCAGTGGCCACAAAAGCACAATCAGCCTCTCCTACCTGGAGGGCTTGGTTCTGGTTCCCCACTATCACATTCAGGTCCAAGTAAGCGTAACCAAGCAAACTTGGACTTCAGATACATGGCATAGGCTTTCTGCTCTGCCCAGAGGTAGCCTTGTGCCTCTGTTCTCCTGCAAGCTGCTCCTGTCCTCTTCCCACTTCTGCCCTTTCTTTCCTTTCTGTGTCCCTAGCAGAAGCAACCCTTCCTGCTCCTGCATTCATTGTGGTCCTCCATCGCTAGGACACCTGTATGTCCCTTGCTATCCTCTTCCTCTGTGCCCCAGTGGCTGACACAAATTATTCATCCTTTCTCTTACCACGCTTTTCTCCCAGAGGTCCATCTTGTCACTGTCATAGCCTTTCCAGGGAGGCAGGGCAATGACTGATGCACATTTGTCTTTATAGGCCCAAAAGTTAACAAAAGAAGAACCCCAATCATGTACAAGAACATCCAAACGAGAAGACCAAGGGAAAAAAAAATAAAAAAATAAAAAAGAAGCTACTCTCCCCCACCTTCTCTAATTCCTCCTTTAATATGACCATGGTCAGGGTAACCCCAGCTCAGGCACTGTTTGACACACGTGGCTCTGCAGAGGATATGGTGAAGAAGCCCTGTGGTGTGCAAGGCCCTGGGCAGGCAGACGTGAGTCTTTCCCCCTCACCCCAGAAAACACACAGATTACACATCTGGCTAGCTTTCCCTGTTCTGTGGTGTAGCACATGCTGGCACTGACACTACTCCCAAAAGAGGAGGGCTGGCCAGAATATGCTCCCCTATCTGATAAAGGACACAGACCTTTCAGGAAATCTGCTTTAGCAAACGTCTCAGATCACTGCAGCTATTGGTAAGTGACCATAACTTTTTTTCTGGATAGAGATGAATGCATTTTGTAACAGGAAAAAATAATTAAAAAAAAAAAAAAAAAAAAAAAAAAAAACAACAAGTAACTCCCCTTGGAATCCTGCCTTTTAGTCACCATTCATCCATTTCCTCATATATCTTCTCTTTTAAGGGTGTCTCATTTAAGGGCAGCACAACTGCTGGCTGAGGGCCTCAGGCACTGCAGCATAGCAAATAGCAGGTAGTAACAGCTCATGTCTGAAGATCATGAGAAGCACAGGTTTTGTGCTAAAAGCTATGGAGCAGAACTGAAGACAAGGATTTTAGCCTATGCCCATCTATTGGGATTAACCACGGATCATGTTGTTGTGCACGGTCTGATGAAGATGCCATGCACCCATTTTCTGGATGCAAGGTGGAAGAAGGGGATGTCTGGACTGGAGAGCTACTCGTGGTGCTTTCCCTGTTTTCTAAACAAGCAAAGCTGGCCTGAGCTTGCTCTTAGTTGAGGAAATTAGTCTATAAAAGGCTGGTGAGTCAGTCTGTGGCGAGGCTGCTGGTTGGGCAGGCTTGGCCTGCTGCTGCCTAATTGATTCTTCCTGTCCTTCAGGTTCTGCCCTCACCAGTAAAAATAGCCCTGGCCATAAAACCTCGTGCCTGCCCCACGGCAGATAGCAGGCTTGAGCTCTAACGCTAATCTCCTTGCTGCTGAAAGAAGAACATTATTGCGTTAATGCATGTGAGACTTTCCCTAAAGGCCTGAATGTATGTCACCTGTTGGCATGAAACAGTTTAACTTCCAGGATCAGTAGGTGTTACATGAGGGCCATAAGCACAGCAAACTGAAGCAACCCATGTCTCACTTCTTCAGAGAAGCAATAAGAGTGACCTGTTAGCTGGTACACGCTTTTGGCATTGCTGATCTTTTGTCATGTGGAGCTCAGGTCTCATTTCAGCCACCAGCGTGCTGCCATCTGCACCAGGGCTGTGGTCACTGCTTTGGGGTCTGGAGACTAATACAGAGGGCAACAACTCTGTCAGGGAATTAACAATGCCTCACACCACCTATACCATATGGATAAAACCTGTAACAAGACCTCGTCAATGGTGTTTCCCCCCAAAAGCAAAAGACTTACCAGCCTAAAAGCAAAATAAGTAGTAATAGTACTCGTAGTGCACTAATTCCTGTGAACCACAAGAGGGCCTTAAATAAATATATGCCAGGCATGAATGAAACCTTCCAGTACAAAGAGATGATGACAGATTTTGAAGAAGCTCTCCAATTAGAATTACTCTGTTTTAAAGAGTGAAAAGCAGACCACAAAACCTTCAGTTCTTAAATTCCCACTTCCTGGAGCCAAGTGATGGCTCGTGAACTGACAGGCTACATGCGGATTCTGCACATCCATGAGATGTGAAATAAAGCTCACACCTAGTGAGAGCTGTTCCACCTTTGTGTCAAACACTGCTGGAGCAGCATCCCTGAAGCGTGACGTAGCAGAGATGTGTTTTGACCCTGCCAGGGTACCCTGCCATGGGGTATCAGTCCCCATTTTTAGCCCAAAGAGCCTGCAGAGCTGGAAGCTTCAGGTTCCCAGGAGGCGGGATGTGCAGGTTTAATCAACACCAGCCTGAGGAAGGAGCTGACGGGGTTCCCTTTGCTGATCTGCAGCACCCTTGGCAAGCGCTGGAATCACAGGGTTGCCACATGATGCGGTCAGTGTTCACGCCGCCTCCTCCTGAGCTTTCACAGAAAAGTATGAACTGCTCCGACCTCTGGACAACCTTCAAGGACACCCTGAGCAGAAAGCAGCAGCAAAGTCACAGGGTGCTGTCACAATAAGGGCATTCCTCTGCTCCAAATTTCCTGTTGGTCGGGTTTTGTGGGGCTTCCTGCTCTGAGTGAAAGGTTTTGCTTCTGGCATGGCTCATTCTTCCCTGCTCACCCACGTGGCAAAGCTGGGCACGCAGGACAGCCTGCACTCCTCTCCGGGCACCAAGGACCAGTAGCGAGGTATTGCACAGCTTTTGGATGTCAGCTCTTGCATTTACTTTGTAAGGCTCTCAGTGTAATAAATAAATACATATATATTTAAGTTGTTGAGAGAACTGAAACTGTAGCACTGCCACTTAGTATTTATGTTTATTGGAAAGATCAATATCCATACACAAGTGGTCCTCTGACTTGAGTGAGACACAATATTTCAAAGTTTTCTGATAAGAGGACTCACACCACAGAGTTAGGTTATCTACAGCCACCCATCTCACTTCTGCACATACACATTTAGGATTGTGTGTCTTTATTTTCTTAAAAGTATGCCCACCTATATCACTACCTTTTTTTCTGCTGGATGTTGTATAAACCCTAGTGACTCCCCATATAAACCCAAATGACTCCCTGTTGAGTCCCAAATGACCTTGTAGAAGTCCACCAGGACCTATTGTTTATTTCACTTTGATCCCAGCAGCTTTGGAAAGGACTTTGGTATGTTTACCTTCAAGTTACTCATCTCGTATGCCTACAGTTTGTTTATTCACTGTAGTCTACTGAAATCCCCCTCTTTTTAGCCTGTTAAAGAAATAGGCCAAAGGTGATATCAGGGTCCCTATCTGGGTGAGCATCACCAATTCAATCAGAGACAACCTTTGGCTTCCTCTCGTAAGTCAGCAGCATCCCAGATACTGCCTTGCTCTCACCTTTCACCAGTAAATCACAGAAATCTCAGCCCACCAAGCCAAAAAAATGACTCCCACTGAAGCAGATTTAACACCGCTAAGGATACGGTAGCAAGCCCAAAGAGTGCCCAGGTGTAATCTCACCTTTCCGGCTCAAAAGTGCTAATCTGCTTGTTTTACTAAATCAAGCCTACCACTATTTGTGTTCAAGGTTTTCCAGCAGCACAATTCTGGGGAGTTGTGCTTTAGTTATTCTGACAGTGGCAAGAAGCCCAGAACTGTACTTTTCCACCAGGACTCATCCCCACTCCTGGCCGCCCCGGCCTCAACTGGGGGAAGCCAAGGTCCCGTGAAGCAGCATAGTTAAATACTGGACATGAATTTATTAGTAGCAAAGCAGACTGGGAGCCTGTATTTTTAAAAATCATCATCTAGCTTTATATTTGTTCAGCTCCACAGTGACCTGTGATTTCTGAGGAGAGGATTATACAACTAAAACGACTGTCACTAATTAACAGTGCAGATGAACTTTGATCCCCTCAGTCTCTACCATCAGTCAGGACCCCAGTTTCAGTCTCCTCCTTGCAACCCTGGGGCATTTGTATTGAATAGAACACTTCAGGATGGTCATGGAAAACTTGAGAGAAACCTGTGACTAGTTCTCTACATGAAATATGTGTTTCAGCAGACACTTTGCAAGGCTTTGCCCCTACTGCAAAGCACCTGCAGGATACACAGCCCAATATTCCATGGTTTTAATATTATTAACCCAAACAAACATACAAATTAAAACACAAGATGAAATAAGTGTCAGCTGAAACCTCCCTCACAACCTTACTTGAGCTGTTCATGCTATGTCAACAGTAATTTTTCCTCAGAAAACTTTGTGTCTCCCCTTTATCCAGCTGGAATAACCAGCAGCTTCTGCTCTGCAGCCCAGCTCAGCCCCTGCAGGGAGTTGCAGCCTGCCAGGTGAGCACTGCCAGTCCTCCTGCTCTGCTCCTTTGGAGAGGATGATTATAGTGATGAGGTGATTACACATCATTTAACTGTAAAATAAGGTTTCCCCA